GGAGCTCATTTGAACCAATCCGATGGGTTCATGAGATAAGTTTTATTTCCCTTGGAAGTAATATTGATAAATTAAATGACATAGTTAATGCCCTTGTTGTTGGAAAAATCATAGCAACGAGAGTGTGCGAAATATGTACGATGTCAGACCATCCAACAGACTACTGACTGATGCTTCAAGAAGAAGTTGGCACACAAGTAAACATAGTGGGGAACTTTCCAAGACCTCCCTATAGGCCTTACAATCCTCATGCTAATACATATGACTCGAGGTGGAGAGATCATCCAAATTTTAGTTATGAACAAAAGCTGAGGCCCAATCAAGCTATCAGTCGAGGCCACCTCCACAAAAATCGTATCAACCACCGAAGCCATCATTGGAATCCATCATCGAGTGGTTGGCTCTTTCCTAAGATAATTTCAAGAATAGAACTAAAGCTCGCTTTCAATAGCTTAAAAAACAAATGAGCCAACTAGCTCAATCTGTGGGGTGCTTAGAGTCGTTGGGTAAGCTTCCATCCGAATCTGAGGCAAACACACAAGAAAATGTATGCGCCATTATCCTCTAGAGTTGTATGGTTGTCAGAAAACCAACCCCAAAGGGTGTAGGTGCATGATCCAAGAGGAAAAAAGAAGAGTATAGATCCAATAGGGAAGAAGAAGTAGTTGACTTACTCTCTTAGAGAGGAAGAGAAGTTGGCGTAGGATCCTAGAGAAAGAAGAAAGATGAATTACAGTCTGATTCTATGTCATCTCCCTATGTCGTTCCACCGCCTTTCCCCTAAAGGTTAGTAAAAAAGATAAACAAGCTAAAGCGAATGAAATCCTTGATCTGTTCCAAAAAGTGAAAATAAAAATTCCTCTTCTTGAGGTAATTTGAGAAGTGCCAAGATATGTTGGATACCTTAAAGATCTATTTACAGATAAAAATCAACTTACCAGAAATAAGAATGTGAATTTATGTGAGAACGTCTCAGCCATTTCCCAATTACGACTTCCACTGAAGAATAAGGACCAAGGTATGCTCGCAATACCATGTAAAATTGATGAGGTTAAAATCAATCGAGCTAAGTGATTTAGGCGCCTCTATCAATATAATGTCCCTCTCCGTCTACAATTTAATTACCACTAAGCCTTTGAAGGAAATAAGAGTTACAATTCAACTCAGTGACAGATTTGTTATCTATCTCGAAGGACTCCAAGAAAATGTTCTGGTAAAGGTAAATGACTTAATTTTTCAGCTAATTTGTATGATATTGATATAGAAAATGATCGTACCAGCATTGGTTCCTAAATTCTTCTTGGTCGTCCCTTTTTGAGCACGACACATATAAAAATTAATGTTCAGAGCGGTATTCTTACCATGGAGTTCGATGATAAGATTGTTAAATTTGATGTTTACAAAGAAATGAGATATCCTGACAATGTTTCTATTATAAATTTTATTGATGTTATTGAACATGTTGTCGATAAATTTATGGAAACAAAATTTTCTTATGATTTGTGCACTGAATTGGAGGTGAAAGATAAAGAAACAAGGGAGTTGAAAAATATTTCATTTGTTGATTTAGTTTTGTGCTTAACTCCCTCATAAACTAAATTATTATATTTTATTTTGCAGGCACCAAATATGTAGTTGAAACCATCATGGGAAAGTTTGAATAACTCAATTTTTGGTAAAGATGTATTGTCGACCACTATTTCGGATAAGCTTCCAAAGCTAGAAAAGATATGAAGAAATGCTTATGAGATTGTTTGAAGCTACAAGGATGAATTGAAGAAACTTTGTGATAGTAGAATTTCTCGTAATAAATTTATTTGATGGAAAAAACATATTAAGTGGAGGAAGTATTTCTCTTAAAATTTGTAGTCTGAATCAGGTCATCGAGCTAATGACATTAAATAAAGCGCTTTATGGGAGGCAATCCATTTTCGATTAATTTCTTGAATTTATTTTTGATTCTTGATTTTTGTTGTTTTGTTTAAGCGTTTTACTTATTTTTAAATTTTTAATTTTAATTTTTCTGGTACCCTGTTATTTCTAATCGAGTTTGAATGAAGTCGAGAGAAATTTTTGATTCGAACATAGTGAAAAATTCTTCACTAAAGAAAGAAGAATCGTACGACAACAATGCCATCTTCGTTTCTCTCTCAAAGAAACCATGGTTCGAACAAGAAATCAAGAAACTGATGATTACCTTTCGTTGATTAACTGCGGACACCATTGCTCACTATTGAATCAAAACAAATTTAGGTACATTTTGTCGATTCCATACATTTGTTAATTCAATTGATTACATGACTTAGTACATATTTAACCTTTCATATGAGTTTTGAGCCTATTGAGCATATGATTTCATTCTTGCTTTTTGTTTCATTTATGTTTTGTCGAACTAGTTCTTTACATTCTAGAACTTGTAGCATAATACTTGTTGAGACTACATGCTTGAATATGATGCTTTAGTGTGATATGGGAACTTACGATTTAACCATTTCTCTTCCCAAAAAAATTGCCTACCCTTTGTTTATTTTCCCCTTAGATACACAATTTGAGCCTTATATATTTTTTCTTTGTTTACCACATTATTAATCCAAATCGTTTTCATTTTTAATCTTCTTTTGTCACCTTTTCAGGATAGAGGTAAGATTGTTCAAAAAAATTAACAAAAAATGAATAAGAGTTCGAAAAAAACAGGAAAAAAAAATGAGAAATACACTATTTGAACAATAAAAAAAAGAAAAAAGAAAATGGGAAATGGGAAAAGGGAAATGGGAAAAGAAAAAGTGATGAATAAAGCTTTGATTGTTTGAGTTCTTGGTCCTTTTCTTTTATTTTCCTTTGAATAACTCTATGGAATGATCTTTCCTTTGACTTGAATTTTAACTCAATTTTTTGGTTTTTTCCTTCCTGAACCTCAACCTTGTTACAACCCTTTTAAAGACCCCTTGATTATTGCATCATGTTCATTATTAGTATTGGAGATTAGATTTATTTACAAGCTTATGATAATGTTTTGATTAGTTTAGGCTTAAGTGATTCTTTCACCCGAAGCACTTTGAACGAAATGAGTGAACCATTGTGAGGTACTAAGTCTTGTTTCTTTGAAATTAACAGATAATTGGAATGTCATGCTTTGCTTACACTTGATTTATTTATGTATTTTGCTTAATTGTTCCTTGATTTTAACATTTACTATAGTCTTGATTCATTTGGATGTCTTGGAAATATTGTGAAATATAAGATGACAACTGGTGATTTTGATATGTTAATTGAGAAATGCTTGAGGACAAGCATTGAAGAACTGAGGAGGGATTTGATGAGTAGTTTAATTAGTTACTACTTTATCTTTAATTACTCCTTGTTTATTGGTTTATGTTCTTGATTTGGACATTTTTGTTAATTTTTTGTGCAGGGCGTTGGATTCCAAAAACAACACTAGAAAGACGAAATTCTGTAGTTTCTATTTTCTGGAGTCAAGGCTAGACTAGTGGACATGACTTGGGGCATGACGTGTCTGACGTGGCATCCAATTAGCAGCTTCTAGAAGGTTCATTCAGTGTTCTGGAAGGGCAGATGAGCGGATCAGCTTCAATTTGAAATTAAATTGGGATTATCTTTTAGAATTATCTTTTGTTGTTAGGATTTAGTTTAAACAATTTTCAAGAACTATCTTTATCTTTTCTATGTTATTTTTAGGGTTTTAGGAGACTATAAATACCCCATCAGGGTAAGCTTGAAAACGATATCTCGAATTAGCTTTTTCTTTTTATTTGTTTTTTTATAAAATTCTTCTTTTATTTAGTTTCATTTTCTTTATTTCTAAGTTTTCTTTATTTTCTTTTAACTATGCTATGTATGATTTCTATAATACTTAACTAACTTTTCAATAATTCAAACGCTGAACGATAACTTAATTCCAATTGTGAGAATTGAAAAGCACTTAATACCCTTTGGGTTACATTCTCAATTTTTTGGAATCAAGGATTGACAATTGGCAATCATTTTAAAACAAAACATTTTTTTTTTCCGAAAAGAGCTTGTTGTCTTGATTGTTGTTTCAATTTTAAAGTTGGGAGGAAAGATCAACTTGTAGCACATTTAACTTCCTCTGAACACACTTAGAGGCGATCCTCTAAGAGAAATTGAGATCGGATTCGATTCTCATTTTGACAACATTGTTCGAGTTGGGTTTTTCCAAAATTTTAAACTGAGTTGGCATTAGCGACGATAGTCGTATTTTTCCAAAAATGATTGAAATTCAAAGATTGATTTTGGATTGTCAATTTACTAGAGTGAAAAACAAGTTAAAGGGGTTTGACCCTGTAGACTGTAATCGACATGAATCCGAAGTGAAAAATCTAATTCAATGATAGGAGAAATTTTAGGCAAAGCGAAAGCCTGAGACTTTTTTTACAACATAGATGTCTTCTCAAACTACTTTCTTTAGAATAAATCTTTACTTTCTTTATAATTTCTCAACAAAATCCCCCAATATATTTTCTTGAATTTGGCCCAGATCAAGGTCAAGAACTTCTTCATCAGCAACTTCCCTAGTCCCTGTGAATCGACTCTTCTTCTCACTATTACTACTTTATTTTATTTCTTTTATTGAGATTAAAGAATTTATTTGACAGTAAAATGACGCTTGTGAGACATTCTCTTCTAACTATTCATTTTCTAATGATTCCTTTTCTGGTGATATTTTTATGCTTGTGATTTTTCACTTACTAAGTTTGATTGAGTTACGTGTTGCTTTTTCCAGTTGATGTTAAGGAAACTCTACCCTCGTAGTTTGAAATAGAGGTGAATCCTTCGACTGAAAATAATATAAAATCTAACCGCGAAGGTTGAAATGGAGGTGATTCCTCTGACCAAGGTTGAGGAAACTCTCCTTGTAATGCTTGATGTATCTCTCCTCACAAAGACCGAAGTGTAGCTCCAATAGAGTTTGATTTATTCCCATCGAAGGTGCTTAACATGTTCTGAAAGAAAAAGAGAAAATGGGTAAGGAAGCTATTGTCATTGCTTACAAGGTTCCTTTTACCACCCTCCCTCAGCAAGTTCATTAGGAGGTCAATCTGGCACATGTCATTCCTACATGCTTTGATTACCTAAAATGCATATATGTGTCTTATTATCTATTTTTCTTGGTTACTTGAAGTATTCTTATTTAACATTCGTTGTTATGGATGTAGCTCCTTTAATTGAAACGATTCCTAGTGAAGGTTCTGATTTAGATTCTTTCTCAAGCTTCCGTGGGACCACTTATGCTAAGGCTACTATAGTAGCTTTTGAGGCAACTCAGCTTATGGTGAAAGTTGTGGTATCCCTCAACACGACAGATAAGGAGATTCATGTTGCTTTTGTTGAGGCTACGGTAGAGGGTAACAAGTAAATGAAAAAATTGTCGTTAAAGAGGTTATGTTGCAAGAAACCAATGTTAATATTATGATGTTGGAGAGAGACTTGAAGGATATGAGGGGAAAGTTGATCGTAGCCCGGATTTAGGCTTAAGATGCAAAGAAAGCTTGGGGGCAGGTTGTGGAGGCTCGAAGATAGGCTGAGGAAGCCAGTAAAGAAGCGAAAGATACCCACAATGAGGCTCAAACGGAGCTGGAGAAAGCTTCTAGGGTTGTCGCTGCAACCTGGAGTGTGTGGGCATAATTGGCAAAGAAAGATGAGACCCTAAATACTATTAAATTAGAATGAAATTGAATCTAAATAATCAAATAGACAAATAAAAAGAAATATTTTTATGATAATGTATCAATAATTATATACATACATGTATGTATGTATGTATTTGATTAGATTCATACTCAACTCAGCACGAATTGACCAAAGATTCAAGGTTGATCCGTACCAAAAATGATTGATCTAATATTGACATGATCCAAAAACCAATTAATATGATATTGACACGACCCAAAAATTGATCGATCCGATATTGATTCGAACCAAAAATTAATTGATTCGATGCTTGAATCGACCCAACTTACAATAGACCTGATGTAATGACCCAATTTCTCGAGGCAATGTTCGAGCATTGACTCAGGTTAATAAATGATAAATTAAATTAGGTTTGAGCTTTATTGGGCTTAAATTGAAATGATTATGGATATTTTTGTAATTAATTAAGAATGATTTGAAGCTTGTGTGAGGTGGTGGAAATTTCGATGACTAAAGAGTGATTTACCCATTTTTAGTAATAATCAACTCCCATTTCAGTGAAAGAAGACTTGGCCGGCTGCTAATGATATGAGAAAAGTGATTTGTTTTTCCCTATTTCCTCTTATTTTATTCTTTATCTCTTCCTTCAACTTTCCTATGTATTTATTTTTATCTCTCCCCATTGTTTCACCCATTTTTACCCATTTTTTCTTCAAATCGTGAAAGATAGAAAGAGCTTGAAGTGTGGAATTTTCTTTCTCCACTTTCATCTTCCAAAGATTAAGGCTCCATGAAATCTATGTTATTGAAACTTTACGAATGAAAGTTTTAAGGTGTTGGGAGGGTTAAGAAGTCTCATTCATATTTTTCTTAGGTTTTCCTTAAAAAATATGTATTTTATTTTATGTAGGTCCTGATACATATTATTAACCTTATGTTGCACTTATTTGATTAGTAAAAAAAGACAAGGATCTTTTAAAGCTAACGGAATGGGGAAGGTGTTAAAGAGCTATGCCAAAAAACTTTCTTTCTATTCTTTCATTGAGGTTGCACACCCTCTAAATCTTCTAGCTTCTTTAAAATTTATAAACGTCATACTTGTGATGATAATGAACGCATGTTATATTTCTTTGGGTAAAAACATGTTGGAATAATTAACCAAACACTTAGTTGTGAAATCTGCCTAGAAATTTTGATTGCATGTTTAACAACTTTAAAAAATCGTAGAAAATTACAAAATATATTTAGAGAGTGATTGACATACCGTTGTAATCGTATGTCAGTCTAGTTTTATAAAACAGTAAATGGTGATCAATTTCGACTTTTATTTAAACATATACTAATTTTTCAATGATTAAATGTCAAAAAATCTGGGCAATAGAATTCTTATTAAACAGTTTTAGTTGTGACTTTGAAAAATAAACAAAAATCTTGTAGTAAATATTAGGAAGTGAACCTTATATTAAGTAAATTTAATTTTGTTTAAAACAAATGATGCTTAATTTCAAACTATATATTTGGAGTTATAAATTCTTCAATGGGTAAAGGTCAGAAGAGAAGGTAGCATGCTGTTTTGAAAAACTTCAAAGACAACGACTTCAAAAATTCACCATAAATCATATGATTTAAATTTAAATATTAATTGATATGGATACAAATATTAGTGAATCTAGTTTCTTATAAAACAAACTAAACATGATTCAGAATTATATATTATTAATTACACACTTTTCTTTAAAGGTAGTGCAAGTTGTCTTATTTGAATAATTAATATTTTAGTAATAATTTATGAATTTGTAAAGCATAAATGATCAAAATATACTCATGTATAATATATCTAGTAAGTTTGAAACAAGCATTAGACTTTGAAAATGGTTGTTCTATATTTGTGATTACATGTTTGATGTTTTATTTGCGCGCATTCAACTAAGCATAATTTTTTGAAATTATGTCGTCGATAGATTAATGTGTGTTAATTATTTTGAGTTGAGATCAATGTATGTTATTATTTTATATTGTGATTATATATATTTAATGTTTTGGTTACTCATAGCCTTCGGGCTCGAACCTGATTGGTGGTCATGTGTGGTGCTCGTTAAAACAATTTGGACACCCGTGATTATTTGACCAGTGACCATCTCTAGCGCTCAGGGAAACAATCGAGACACTCAATATTCTTTTGATTAGAGGTCATGAGTGGCGCGAGATTATCTGGATATACGATTATTTGAGCACATGTGTATCCGAACAAGTTTGACCAATTTGACAATTTGAAAAGTTTGACTAATTTGAGAAGTTTTATATGCAAGTAATTTGTTTATAAAATTTTGGTGACTTGTGATTTGGTTGTTCGTTACCCATGTCATGCTCGTTACCCACGTCATGCTTCTATGTATACATTTGCTTTGCATTCTCCTTTTTGTGGATTATTTGAAGCATGGTAGATTAGTTTTGACCACTAAGCTCGTAAAACTCAATCTTTGAATTATTTCTATTTTCATATTTTTAGACTTTTTTATGTGTCTGAGGAGCATCATCAACAAAGGTTTTACAGTATCTCGTATTTTGAGTATGATACCTTATCTATTGACAGACATTGTATTCATAGGGTTTCATATGTATTTTGAGGTTTGTAACTCGTTTATTATTTTTGGGTAACTTGTTTATATATATAGGATTAACTACACGATTGATCGTTTATGTTTGTGTTTTGTCAACTTTTTCTCATTGATTTAAAAAAAAACATAATATATGGTCACCTTCGTTTTTATGTAATTAAGATGTGGTCACCATGAGTTAACCGTCGTTAAATATTTTGATATAATCACATATTTAGTCCCTATTATTTATATATTCTCTCAATTTAGTCATACTTTTAATAAATTAAAATAAATTTAATCCTCCAATCAAATGATATCACGTGCTACTGGTACCATGTGTCGTGCCAGGTGTCACTATTTGGTTGGAGGACTAGTTTTGAAAGTATTGATGGAAAATTAGTATATTAAATTAAAATAAAGTTAGTCCTCTAAGGGAATGGTGATACGTGACACTAGTGACACGTGGTATCATTCGATTGAAGGTGACAATAAGTTAACTATTAATGACAGTTAATTTGTGGTGACATCATGTTAATTAAATAAAACCAAAGTAATCATATCTTAATTAAATATAAACAAAAATGACCATATATTATATTTTTGAAATGAACGAGTAAAAATGGACAAAATATAAAGATAAGTGATGAACTATGTAGTTAACCCATATATATATGCGTGCGTGTGGAGTTCCACATGTTTTTGTATAACAACTTTTATTACTATTTTATTATGACTATTTATGATTTTTTTTCTTATATGAAATATTTTTATGTGTGTGGAGTTCCACATATTTTTGTAAAAATACTTTTATTACTATTTTATTATGACTATTTATGATTTTTTTTCTTATATGAAATATTTTAATGTTTTAAAATATTTGAAAATTTTGTTGGGCTGCTCTGGTTATCCGGATGTAGCATCTTGATATTTGAGTATTTTATATTCAAGATTATAATGTTACATGTAGTGTTTCCAGAGCTTAGATTTAATCGATTTTAGTACCACCTAAGTTGTCAATGAATACATGCTCATAGATTTAAGAGCGTACACTTCTAGGACTGGAAATCTGATGATGTATTGTCTTTTATGTGATATATATTGTTGATAAATCGGGCAAAGTAAACGAAAGAACACAAGAATTTTAACGAGGTTCGGCAATGTGCTTACGTCCTCGGTGCCTAGGCGGCGCTAGAAAATTTTTATTCAATGATAATAGGTTTAGGTTACATCTCTATTTATAATAGAAAACCCTACCTTACATATATATATATATATATATATATATATATATATATATATATATATATATAGAATTTATATTTGAGCATGATTAAGATAGTTGAAGGTCTCACCTCTTACCCTAGTATTGGTGAGGATAACCATGATCTAAAGATCAGAGAATTTGATGTTCAAGAAATAAAAAAGAGATTTAAGATACTAATAAGTGTTCCCGTTCACTAGCCATAGGGGATGGAGATTCTAAAAACTCATGGAGGATGTTTAATAATAGTCTTAAAAAATCCAGTGCGTGGTTTCGTCATTGACCAATATATAATACCTCATAGATGAATTTTTTTTTTCGTAGATGACCTCAATTTGAAAATTTGAAGGTTCGGTACGTGAAATTCTAAAGTATAGATAGTTGAATTCTATTGTAACACCTATGGTAAAGTCAAGGCTAGCTAATTCGAAAAGGTTCGAATGAGTTGTTGTACTGAGAGTTTGATATAATTTTTGGTACGAATTGGTTATTCGAGCATGATACAAGTTTTAAATGGATTTAGAAAGATAACTGTCAATTCCTAATATTTCAAATGTGAACTATAATTAGTCAATTGTATCTTTGTAGAAGAGAAGTGAGTGTTTATTTCTAAAATTATTGATCTATGAAAGCAAGTTTGATAAGAAATCCTCACTATCAAGAATCAATTTCTTATCCTGATTTTGATAAATTAAAAGTTTTGATAATTCTCTCGTGGATTATTATTTTGATAGACTTCACTGTGAACTTTGAAAAACTAAAACTCAGATGTAATCTTTTCATTTTGATGGTTGACTTCATCAATAATGTTTTTGTGTGTACTCTAAATCTAGAATGATCACTACAGTAAAATTGTTCTACAACGGCGTTTTTAGCGGCGTTTTGAGAGTAGACGCCACTAACTTTAAACATATAGCGGTGTTTACATTTCAAACGCCCCAAAATGGTAACTTTAGTGACGTTTTTATAATAAAAAATGGCACGACATATTAGTACTTTAGCGGCGTTTGTATAAAAATGCCGCAATATGGTTCATTGATAGTGGCATTTTTTCAATAAACGCCGCAACAGAGTAGTGCTTTAGTGGTGTTTTAATAGAAACACCGCAATAGGTTCATCCATAGTCGCATTTCTTAACAAACGCCATGACAGAGTAGTACTCTAGCGGTGTTTGTATAAAAATTGCGTAATAGGGTTCATCTATAGTGGCATTTTTTCAACAAACGCCGCAACAAAGTAGTACTTTAGCGGTGTTTTTATACAAACGTTACAATAGGGTTCATCTTTAGTGGCCTTTTTTCAAGAAAACACCACTAAACACGCGTAGTTTAGTAGCGTTTATATAAAAAACGCCACAATAACCTGATATATAGTGGTGTTTGTGTAAAAAACACCGTTATAAATGCATAGCAAATAGAAACCCTCCCAACTCGGTTTTTAAGAACTCACACACTATTGTCAAAGATTTCTCTTTGTCTCTTCCATTTTAGGGTTTTTGAATGGAAGGAGGATCGTAGGAGCGATTGCCAAAGATCAAAATTCGTGAACTTAATGATGACTACGCAAAGTTCGAGCTTCGAGACACCGACGCCTCCTTAGCCAACGCCCTCCGCCACGTATCACCGAGGTCCCCACCATCACAATCGATCTCGTCGAAATCGAAGGCAACTCATCCGTCCTCAACGACGAGTTGATTGCCCATCGGCTCGGCCTCATTCCACTCACCAACGAATGAGCCATTTCGATACAATTCTCCCATCACTGCGACACTTGCGACAGTGACGGGCAGTGTGAGTTCTGCTCCGTCGAGTTCCATCTTGTCTGTTTCTCCTTTTTTTTTCCAGTAATTACTGGACCAGCAACATATTGTATTCATATATATTTTATTTTGAAATTTGAAGCATAGAGAATAACACATTCTAATTTTTGACATTTGGAGGCTTTTAAGCGACAATTGATGCAATCTCTAACCGATGACCACGCATCCGTAAGGCCTGCATATTTAGCCATTCATGTCGTTTATGCCTTTTATGTTTCAATTTTTTTTCTGTTATTCATAATTAAATTTTGGTCGACTTTATCTGCACTTGATTTTCTCTGTTTGGTTCTATTTGTTGAGATGTTTGAGAAGAAGAAGAAACCAATTTCTTTTAACATTGTTCTCAATTCTTTATAACAGGCAGCTGAACCGGCTGATATTGGTTTTTTTGTTTATTGCTTCTATTTTCTTCTGTTTTCTTCTCTTGAATCATTCATAATTTATCTCTTCAGAAATTTAACAATAGCCTATCTCCCCCCTCTTTTCATAACTAACTCCTAATTTGTTGGCAATATTCTGATCAATGTTAATATCTCCTGCCACATAGATGGGATAAATGACTACACATCACTTCGTTCTTCTAATGGTTCGATGGACATGGGAAGCGCAATTGATGAAGGTAATTGGACAGGTTAATTAATTTTTTGCAGTATGTTTATGCCTACATATGGTCGAGGTTAAAGAACCAGCATCAATGTAGGAAATGGATTAACATCTTGTTATAAAATCGGAAATTGAACAGCATATAAATTGGCATATTTTCTAAAGAACAATGATTAGATATTTTTTGTAAATCACTATTGTGCCTTTTCATTTTTGTCCTTTGATGTTTAAAATATTTCTTTGGATTAACTTCTCTTCAGAGAAAACTTGAAAACCCTAGTTTAAATATTCAGGCTTACTTCTAGAATTTCTAAACAAGAAAAAAAATCATTTATGAAAAAGTTCTGCAGCTAGAAGTCAACAATGAACTGAAGTTAGGGAGTGTTGCATGAAAAGTTCATTTGCAAATAACAATATTAGTTACTAACATATGTGGTATATTTTATCAAGTAGTCACCATCAATGTCTCTAGGCCTGTCTCCAAACCTTGGCCTGTGAGAAATTTAAAACCTTTAAATTTAAAGAAATATGAATAAATTTGTATTTTAAAAATACATATATAATTTGACAAAATATGTGGATGCTTAAGTTATTTGACAATTTTGTGGATACTTTTGTCCAAATTATACTATGGTATAGATGATACATATATATATATGTATATATGTTAAAAGGAGCATGATAATGCTCGTTTTCTTCTCAACCTTTTTATTCTTTTCCCATAAATGGTAAAAAATGAAAACTTGTTTCAATTTTTTGGTAAATATCCAAATATAAGAAAGCAAGAACTTTTCCTTTCCTACTACTCTAGAAAGCAGGGGTGAGTAATGGTTACTATTCTCTTAATTTTGTATTAAGGATGCTAACTATTCTCTTACCACATCTATGTATCTCCATTTTGAAACTAAAGCACAATTTTCTCTCTTTTTTGGGTCTTTCTTCTATCCTCCTGCTTGTTGTCTCAAGATTTGTCAAGTTGGTAATGGTGCATTCAGTGTTATCACCTTATGCATTTTAGTGGTAAATGGAACATCTTTTTTGGAACTGTGTTAATTACTTTATCTCCACTGTCAGTGTTATCTTGACATAAAAATGTTAAACTTCATTGAAATGCCTTATTGGTAAGGACTTTAAGCCTGATATTTTTCCAACAGCCTCTGGACATGGTGGAGAAAGATTTGCTATAACAACATATATCTCGCCACGGCTGACTCCTGAAGCTCCAAAAATTATATCCATAAGTGGTTCCTCTAGGGGTTATTCTGCTGCTGGGTCTCCCCAGAGAACTGGTGTAGATTCTCCAACAAAGCCCCAGCATGGTGGGACTTCACCCTCGTGGTACTCGTCAAGCCAGCAGTCATCCGCGGCTAGCACTCCTTCTCGTCGGCATTCACTACCAGGTATCTTGAGAGTCCAACTCATTTTGTTTGTCTATGATCAGTTCTGATCCAGTTTTCTTGTATTTTTGAAATAATTTCAGCACGGAGTCCTCGAATCGATGGGAATGAATTCTTTCGTCAAGCCATGTACTATTTTATTCTTTTTTCTCAAATTATGATCCTTGAAAGTTCCTGGCTCTTCACAAGTTGATTAAAATATGTGTAATGTAGGTGTCAGCTTTCGTATGAACATTTCAGTGCATTTTTGGCTAACATCAAGGAACTGAATGCTGTTGTTTTAAAGAAGTAGCCTTGCGAATTAGATTCGCACTACTGGTGCAATTAGCACTTGTGAACGATCCTATGGTTAGTGTCTCTAGACTTAGAACTAATGGGGTCAAAGATTTCAATTTCGTATATCAAGCACTGGACGATCATGTTCATGAGTACGTTTTGTATAACAATGTCGAACTATGTTTCATTTAAATTTAATTTTATAAATTTTGATTTATTTTTCTACATAATTTTTGTCGTAATTAAATTTTAAGTTTATTGTTATAAGGTAATGCTATAGAATATTAAATTTGCGTAATATAAAGTAGAAAATGATATATGCGAAATCAGTTAACCATAGCGGCGTTTGTAAATAAAAGTCATCAGAAGTCAGGTTCTTTTGCAGCATTTTGTGAAGGAAACGCCAATAATGACCACACATTTGCGGTGTTTGTAAAAAAAAATCCACTATATACATAGTTAATAACGGCGTTATTTACCAAAAATGCTGCTAAATATCATAACATGTAGCAGCGTTTTAGAAACAAACGCCACTAAAGACAATGTAATTAGCGGCGTTTTTAGGCAAAAACGCCACTATAGATCTAGACCTTTTGCAGCGTTTTCTATTCACAAACGCCGCTAACTTTTGCGGTGTTAGTTTTAGCAGCGCTCCTCACGGCGTTTTTACCTACGCCGGGAAAGTTTTTAGCGGTGCTGAAAAACGCCGCTATAGATCATTATTGTTGTAGATGATCAACTAGATATTTTTACTACTTTGATAAATTTAATTTTTCTCAATTTTGATACTTCCCTATCCATGATCCTGAAATGACATCTTATACGATCTGATAGATCTTTATATATATATATATACACACGAGAATATCTTCTCAGATTTATTAAACGAATACCCTTGATTTTTGAGATAATATTTCTGAGTTAAATATTCCATTGTGGCAAGTGGTTGCATTTATGTTGAAAGATCAGTTTCCGGATCCAATAAGGTTCGTTGTCGCGATAACACGTATGTATGTTAAAAGGGACTAACTAGCTCGAGATTTGAGCTAATTTTTAAATTTTGAAAACTCTGATTCGGGAAATTGAGTCATATAAATTGCACTCTATGAATGCTTTTGGTGTTTCGTTGGATTCCTTTAATCCTAATTTCTATGGATATGGTGTATTCAGAAGTCAGTGGAATTTTAATGTTTTGTGATTTTGTTGAAATTGTCCCTATATTTTTCAAAATAAAATTTCCTTAATCGATTATCGATAAAGTTCAATGGTAGAAGCAGGCCTGAAACTTACGTATCAGATTTTTGTAAGAGCCATAATATGATAACTCATGTATGCTCCGAGAGAGGAGTCTCTTGATCCGAGACTAGAGTCTCTCGATCCGAGACTAGAGTCTCTCGATCCGAGATCATGGTAGTTTATAAATGTGAAAAACTAGTGTTTTTAAATTTGAGTTTTTTAATTAGTATTATTTCAATGTTCCAGATTTACCGTTTAAATTTAGAGAATATGTATCGAATTTTCACGTGGGTCAGATATACGATAATCTACGTGTATGTCAAAAAAGAAAAAAAAAACAGTCAATCCAAAATTTTGCTAATTCAAAGTTTTGGGAAACTCTAATTGCAAAATGGAGACTCGTAGGTTATCTTAGATCCCCTTTCAGTTCGAGTTTTCAGACGATCCGTTGTTTCTAGATGCTGAAGACAATTACTGATCTCTGATAATTTTTATGAAATTCATTTTGAATTTCATTGAAAGAAAATTTTCGTGAACTTCGTGCCCTTTTTATATTAGTCTTTGTTTGATTTGAGTTTGATAAGACCTCTAGATGTGTTAGTGTTTGTTCCCTTGTTAAAATATCCTTCGATATATGTTTGACTGGCACCCAATTGTGTTGTTGTTTTTACCTCTTGTATTATTGCTTGATCGAAGGTATTGTTGGATGTGTTTAAAAAGCTTGTTTCATAAACCGAAGATTCTATGTTGTCTTAATTCGTTATATCTCAATCAAAATATCTAAATTTGTTGTAAATTTTTAAAATTTTTCGTGTGCAATAATAAGTTGTATCAGGAACTTCGTTAGTAGTAGCCAAGAATGAAAAAATATTTGGTAGAGCTTTTGATTAATGCTTAGCATGTCAACAAGTAAAGGTACGGCACTCGGTTCCTTCAAGTATTATTCAACTTGTTTGGATTTTCATAGTACAAATGTGATAGAGCCACTATAGATTTTGTGACTTGCTTACCTATGTCTCGACGTAGACTCAATGTAATTTGGGTGATTGTGGACATCTTGAAAAAAACCACACATGTTTTCCTATGCGCATGGACTTCACCTTTAGACAAGTTGATTAGATTGTATATTGATGAGATAACAAGGATTCATGAGGTGCTGACTTTGATCAGTTTAGACAAATATCCATGATTTACCTTGAGATCTTGGAGAACCCTTCATGAGGCGTTGGGTACCCACTTGCACTTTAGAACAGATTTTTATTCGTAGACAGATGATCAATTAGAGCGAGTCATTCAAATTCTTGAGGATATGTTTCGTTGTTGTATTATTGATTTTTAAGGAGGTTGGGAGAAGCCCATTCCCTTGGTCAAGTTTGCATACAACAACATTCTTAGTCTAGGATTTAAATGACTCCGTTTGAGGTATTATTATATCATAAGTGTAAGACTGAGGATAAGGTTCGGATAATCTAGAATAACCTAAGATCAACTTTTGACTATTAGAAGTCTTATGTACACTTGAAGTGCAAAAATATAGAGTTAGTAGTGGGTGACTAGGTCGTCCATAAGGTTTCACCTTGAAAGAATGTTTTGCGCTTTAGAAGGAGAGGAAATTAAGTCCCAAGTTCATTGCACCTTATGAGGTGTTCAAGAGGGTTGGACTAGTACCATATCAATTGTCTTTGCTACCAGATATGGAGCTTATTCATAATGTGTTTAACGTTTCTATGCTTTAGAGGTATTGTTTTGATCATTCCCATGTCTTATCGCTCTAGCAAATTGAGGTGAATTTAGACTTGTAATATGAGAAAGAGTCGGTTCAGATTTTGGCTAGAAGGTCAAAGAGATTTGAAATAAAATTAAAGATCCTATGAAGGAACCACGAAGTAAAGGAGGCTACGTGGGAGTCAGAGGAGTCCATGAAACTTTAGTATCCACATCTTTTTGATTCGGGTAAATTTTGAGGATGAAATTTATTTTAAGAAGAGGAAAGTTGTAATGACCAAATTAATTTTTCGAGTCAAAATTTGAATGTTGACTCGGGTTAATAAAGAATAAATTAATTTGGGTTTGAGTTTTGTTGGGCTTGAATTGGAAGGATTTTGAACCTTTTTGCAAGTAATTAAGAATTATTTGAAGCTTATGTGAGGTGACAGGAAGTTGGATGGCCTAAAGAGTGATTTACCCATTTTTCAATAAAAATCAACTCGCACATTAATGATAGAGACGCGACAGCGGATGAAGAATTGTTGCCCTTGTCTAAGAATCAAACCTAGAAAGCTCTGGACTCTATCAAAGAACGAGAGGGTGAGAGGGAGACGTGGGCAGCGACAATATGATCTTAAGAGTGATTAGAATTTGCTGAATTCAAGACAAGGAAACAAAGAATTAAGAAAATAAAAAAGATAATAGATTATATAAATAAATAAAGACAATGTGAAAACAATGATAGTAAAAGATAGCTAAAGACAAAACATGTAATGAAAATATGAACTTAGCCAATGTAATGGGGGATGAGAGGTTGTTGATCTTAGATCGGGATGAATGAATGCTCGTTAGAAAGATAGAAAACTAAGGATTGCAATGTGATGGGAGAATTGAAATCAAATGGTCGAATTGATAGGAAATTCGATTTGAAAATTTACCCCTGGTAGTATGATGCTTAACACAAACCCTGTGGTTTTGTAGTGAATGGTGTGATGATGGAGAAGGAAGATGGAGATGATGGAAGATGGAAAATAGATGGATAATGTCCTATCAAACTCTCCTAGTCGCAATGAAAAGACAAACTCGATAATACAACTTTAATCAGCCCTCCAAATCATAATGAAAAGGAAAACCTGAGTGTGAAGATCTATCTCTCAAGAACTCGGAAGGACTAAAAGAAAAAAGCTTCAAAGTTACAAGACTATCAACACTAAAAAAACGATCTCTCGTTGTATTATATTAAAGAATAAAACTTGATGATCACAATGGTGGAAGGAGCCTCCTTTATATAGTCTTGGAGGAATCCCTGTTTTAACATAATTAAGGAATACAATAAGAACAAAATATCAAATAAAATTATCCTAACTCAATATGGTTTGGGTGGTTTGATTATGAGCCCTTAACGGGGTCTTAATCCAATGGTTATGATGAAACTAAGGAGTTGAATGCATGATGAAATCCCTTGATCTTGATGGACAATCTAGATGAGCCTTCTGGAAAGAATATGGACGGCATAGCATGATAGGGAGAGGTGATAGGTGCCCTTTCTTATGATAAGCAAGGTGATAAGTTATCAAGGCTTATAATAGGCGTATGATAAGAAAGAGAGATGATAAGCTATCATGGATTTATAATGAGTTACTCATTTACCCTTATCTTAATAAAATAATTGAAATCCTAAGGTAATGAGTTATCTCAAGCTTTATAGACTTAGCATCGGGTAACTTTACAAAGCCTTTGTCTTTTCAAGGTGGTTAAAATTCCTTTTCGGGAATTTTTTCAAGGTTCTTGCAAATAGGACTGAAAGTAACTTCGATTGTGGTGATAAAAGTTGATGTGGGAGGAAGGATGAGTGGATTTATTTCCTTAAACCCTCCATGTGGGCATGTAGGCCCTTGCTGATGAAGGTATGGATTGTAGTTTGGAGTTTGTATTTTAGTAATTTGCCTCGCCCCCTTGTGATTAGGCCCATTAGTAGAGTGAGTCCATCATCCTTAGTATTTAGGGGTGTGGTACATGTATCATCTCTCCCCTCTTGAAAAGGATTTTTCCAAAAATATGAAACATCAAAGAGAGATAAGTCAAAAACATTAAAAGATGCACTCACGTCATACTCACCTCGAAGATCAACATGGTATGCATTTTCATTGATTCGTTCAAGTACTTGGAATGGTCCATTGCCTCTTGGATCAAGTTTAGATTTTTATTTCTTTAGAAATCTCTCTTTTCAGATGTTTACCAAACCCAATCACCTCGTTCAAATCTAACATGTCATCGTTATTTGTTAACTCTGTGAGCTACTACTTCATATGTTTTCTCCATCTTTTGTTAGGCTTTGGCATGAATGTCCTTGAGAAATGCTGCTTTTTATTCACCATCATGCTAGTAGTCTGTTCTAAGGGAAAAGGAATAAGATCTAAAGTAGTTAGTGGATTAAATCCATAAACTATTTCGAATGGAGAATAACATGTCATGGAGTGGATGAACCTTTTGTAAGCAAATTCAACAAAATGTAAACATAATACCTTTCAAAAGTGAATTATAAACTTTGTTTCTCTATCGGACACAATTGTGTGGGGGATGCCATGGAGTCGCACTATCTCTCGAAAGAATAGATCAGCAATATATGTTGTATTATTAGTTTTATGACATGGAATAAAATGTGTCATCCTCAAAAACCTATCTACAACTATAAAGATATTATCTATTCCTTTCTTGGTTTGAGGTAAGCTCATAATAAAATCCATAGATATATTAATCCAAGGTGAGGCGAAAATTGGGGAGGGTATAAAAATTGTTAGGATTTACCTTAGACTTGGCTTATTTGCATGTGATCCATGATGCACATACCTTTTCTACGGTTTTCCTAATGTGTGGCCAGAACAAATGTTTCATGACCATGTTAAGTGTCTTGGTAACACTAAAGTGTCCCATTAGTCCTCCTAAATGTGATTCATGGACTAGAAACTCTCGTAAAGTGCCTTTTGGTATGCACAACATGCTCAATCGAAAAAGAAATCCAACTACAAGATAAAACTTGTTAAAAGAATTTTTGAACAGTGGATGTAAATCTCAGAAATATCTAGGATCAAAAGAATAAAGTTCTTTAATGTGTTCAAAACCTAGAATAGTATCATGTATTTGAGTAATGAGTGTGTACCTTCAGGATAATGCATCAGCTACAATTTTATATTTCTATTGTTTGTATTTAATCACATAAGGTGAATATTATATAAATTCAACACATCGAGCATGTCGTTTGCTTAACTTATTTTAATCGTATAACAACTTTAATGATTCATGGTTTGTATGTATGACAACCTATTTAGGAAGAAGATAATGTTGCCACACTTTGAGTGCACAAACAAGTGCAAGGAGTTCTTTGTCATAGGTGGAATATTTGAGTTGTGCTCTTTTTAACTTCTCGCTAAAGTAAGTGATATGTTGCTTTTCCTTCATGAGTATTGCACCTATGAGTAGATCGAAAGTAAACATCATATTCTAGCTCGAAAGTGTTAAAAAAATTGGGAAGATGGAGAATAGATGCAAAACATAACTTACCTTTGAGTATATCAGAAGCTTCTTGTTGTTGCGGTCCCTATTTGAATTTAACAAACTTCTTGATTATTTCTATCAAATGAACGGCAATGGTGGAGAAGTCTTTGAGGAAACGTTGATAGAAACTTGCTAAATCATGGAAATATATTACATCGGTGATAGAAGATGACATGGGCCATTCTTGAATTTACCTTCTCTTCATCTACATAGATACTTTGTGCACTTATGATAAAGTCTAAAAAGATAAGCTTGTCACTACAAAACACAAACTTGTCTATGTTAGCAAACAAATGTTCTCGATGTAGAACTTCAAGTACGAAATGAACGTGCCTGACATGAGATTCAAGAGAAGGTGAGTATATAATAATATCATCAAAGTAAAAAAAACGTACTTACCTATGAATTCTTTTAAAACATGGTTCATTAATTGCATCAATGTGCTCGATGCATTGGTAAGGCCGAAGAGCATAACAAACCATTCGTAGAGTCCGCACTTCATCTTGAAAGTCATTTTCCACTTGTCTCATTCTTTCATTCGGATTTGGTGGTAACACTTTTCAAATATATCTTCGTGAAGATGCATGACAATTCATCTAACATATCATCAAGGTGTGGGATGGGGTGAATGTATTTGATTATTATTCAGTTTATTGGTATGCATTCGATACACATTTAGAATGTGCCATCTTTCTTTGGCATGAGAATCATTGGAATAACACAAGGACTAAGGCTTCATGGATATAGCCTTTTTTGTAACAATGCTTCCACTTGTCGTTCCAATTCTTTGGTTCCTTCAAGATTACATCGATATAAAGGTCTGTTTGGAATTGACGAAATCGAAATGAAGTTGATTAGGTGTTTTATTCCTCTTTGGGGTGGCAAGCTCTCTGGTGGATCGCTTAATACATATATGAAATCCAACAAAAGGGAAACAAAAACACTAGGCAAATATGTGAGGTTAATATAAATAAAAAAGATGGCATCTTTGAAATGGATGAGGATGTAAGGTTTGTTGTGGTAAAAGGTTTCTCTCATGTCTTTTGTGCTCGTATAGATGTTTGTGCACACTCTTTATTTCTCATAAATGGATTCACTCACCTCTTGTGGGTCACGTGTTCGACTTTTATCAATTTTGACCTCTTTTACGTCTTTTTTGAAATCCCTAACCTACTCACAAATTCATTTATGATCCTAAAGAATGTCTTTCAAATACATAGACCTCAAACTATATGGTTTATTATGGATATTTAGAGAGTATTTGTTAGTTTTAACATAGTAAATGACATCATTTTCATATTGCCATGGTCGTCCCAAAAGAATGTGAGATGCCTGCATCGGAATTACATCACACAACACATCATCACAATACTTACCCATATTCAAATTAACGAGGAATTGTTTTGTGACCTTCAATTCAGAATTCTCATTAAGCCATTGTAAGCAGTATGGCTTTGGGTGTCGTTAATAAGGCAAGTAAAGTGTATCCACCACATAATTGCTAATCACATTAACACAACTTCCATTGTCAATAATCAAGGAATATGTTATATCCTTTATTTGACATCTTGTGTGAAAAGATGTTTGTCCTTTGTATATCTGATAACACTACAAAAGATTTATTATTTAAGATCTTTTTACCCAGATTGAGCTTGAACTATAGCATCTTTAATATCATAGTAGGATCATTTTTTACATATTTTATATCATTTGCATCATGAGAGTAAGTTGTTTGAAGTTGGCTTGATTTTAATGTTTTATGATGAAAATTGATACATTGATGTTGTGGCATTACTTGAAGCTGCAGCTATTGTTTTGTTGCGATACTGCATCAAATTTATGAACAGAACCTACAGTAACTGATGACTCAGTAAATAATTATACAACTTTCTGGATTCGAACAATTGTCCAATACAGTTGTAAAATGGTTAGAAAATATGGAAAAACCATATTTTCCAATTAAAGGATGTTGTGACCTTTCAGGGTTATAAATAAGGCATCCCTTCACACTTTTCAATGATATTAATTCAACTCCATACTTTTCTCCAAACTTAATCCATTATGGCAGCCTAAGTCCATTACCGAAGAGTGCACCAGCAGCAGTAGAGTAGTTGTGAGCAGCGGTGACCGGTCGGGGTTCAACATTTCATTTGTGATATTGAATTCAGAAGGGATATACACTTTGCTATGTTGAATGATTAATTTTTTTGTTTATATGTGGTACCGAACATAAGGTGTTCGGTGGATAGCTTGACTCTTGGTTTTTGTTTAAAATTATATGTTTATGAACTACATGTTTATTGGAAGTTTATTAGAGATAATTGCATCTTATTGTATGCTTATCTTAGTTGCTTTTAGAAATAAAAGTAAGTGAGATTGCATGATATCTTTATCCTAGCATTGGTGTTTTACGAGAGTAAACAATTCTGTATAAAGATATAGGAAACCAATGTTATGCTTTGTTAACTAATTAATCTAAGGTTTCAATGAGAGTTAAATTCATTAGGTTAAGGGTTAATCGATGCATAATTCATGAATATATTTTTACAGCATAACCATTTTGTCAGCAGCTAAGTAAAACAACATTATAGGTCCATCAGTCTGATTTCTCTATTGTTTCCTGTAGCTTTCTCCTGCTTCCATTATCTTGATTTTTCTATTATGTTATTTGTTTGTTAGTTTGCCAAATCAATTATTCTCCTACACTTAACTCTTTTGTAACTTTTTTTCGTCCATGTAGGATTTAACACTTATAGTTCTTTTGAGCTACCACTTTATTACTTGAATGATAGTGTATGCTTACACTTTGCTATATGATTTACTTGGCATCAAGTTTTTAGCGCTTTTACCGGGGAGCATCATTTTTGCATTAGAGTTAATTTACTTATTTTATTTATTTTTTTAGGTACTTATCATCTTTAGTAGTTTTATTGGTGTATGTCCCATAGCAAAAATGAGCTAAAGCCTTTTGATCTATAAATAGTACAAAACTTCTGTCGTCATCGAAGAGAAGTTAACCGTAATTAAGCACATATGGCTAAACAAGGAAGAGGTAACAATGCTCTGCCAACGCTACAACATGAAAATAGAGTAGAGCAACAACAATTCTACAATATGGATGACCGAAATTGACCTATTCAGGAGCATACAATATCAACACTTGATGATTTACATTTTGGTATAGTGCGACCAGTAATTCATACAAAAAAATTTGAGATGAAGCTGGTTATGTTTCAAATGTTGTAGTCCATGGGGCAATATAGTGGTGCATTCACCAAAGATCCACGCGTTCACATCTGAGCATTCATGGAAGTATATGATTCCTTTGTTCAACAAGGAGTTCTTAAAAAGGCAATAAAGCTAAAGTTGTTCCTTTATTTGCTGAGAGATAAAAGCTAAAACATGGTTGAATTCGTTTTTGCCCGATGCTATAGCATATTCGAATGAACTAACACAAAAGTTTTTGTTTCAATTCAATCCACCAAATATGAATGCGAAGCTGCGAAATGACTTGAAATATTTCAAGCAACTAGAAGATAAGAATTTGTATGAGGCATGGGAGAGATTCAAAGATTTGTTGCAAAAAATGTCCTATGCATTGATTCCCACATTAGACACAAATAGAAATGTTTTACAATTGGTTAAACATACACTCTCGAATAATGGTTGATGCTTCAAAATTGTGGCATTAATGGATAAGACGTACAATGAAGCCTATGATATTCTGGAGAGAATATCAACCAATGATTATCAATACCCCAACACGAGGAACATGTTTAACAGACGTAAAGCTGCAACGATGGATTCTAATACTTTTAATTCTATGGCTTCCCAAATCTCAGCATTAACGGATATGGTGAAGAAGCTACAAAAGTTGAGAGGTATGTACGATGTAAAGACATCATCCCGTATATCATGTTTCTATTGTGGATATGATCACATCTATGAGGAATACTACCAAAATTTGAATTATGTCTATTGTGTGAGGAATTACAATAGGAATGATAATTCATATGACAACATTTACAATGCCAACTTCTGGAACCATCCCAATTTTCCTTAAAGGAGCCAAAATGTTGCAAATCCATAACAACAACATTATAATTAGCCATAGCATTACAATCCACAGCAGACGATGTTACAGCCTCAGTTACAACCTCAAGCTACACAGTTGCGACAAAGGCATACTTATCAAGGAGTACATGGAAAGTCAATCGGCATCATTAAGATCTTTAGAGAACCAAGTTGGCCAAATGATGAATGCCTTGAGCAATAGACTACAAGTACGCAACCCAACAATACTGAGAATCCAAAGCAGCAAGGGAAAGCTCAATGCAATGAGCATTGCAAGGCTATTACTACTTGAAGTGGGTGGTCTCCACATTGAAAAACATGTTGAAGATCCCAATAGGACTGTTGGTGAAGGGGCTAGTAAGTATGACAATGGAAAAAACAAGAAAGTCAATCTTGAAACGTCCACTATTAGTGTCAAAATAAGAAAAGGAGGACAATGTAGTAATTCTAGATCATTGCCATAAGAAATGCCTACCACACTGCCAGATGCTTCTCAAGCCTCAATGTTAGAACAACCAAAAACAAGGATGCCTTTTCCTCAAAGATTAAAGAAAACTAAAGAGGATCAACAATACCGAGCATTCATTAAGGTGCTCAAACAACTGACATTCTGTTTATCAATTCTTTGGAGCAAAACCCAAATTACATCAAGTTCATGAAGGAATTTCTTTCCAAGAAGTAAAGACTTGGTGAATTTAAAATTGTTGCACTCACTGAAGGGTTTAGTGTGATGGATGCGAGTAGATTGCCACCAAAATTAAATGATCTAGAAAGTTTTACTATCACTTGTGTTATTGGTGATCGATTTGTAGGTAGAGCATTATGTGATTTAGGTTATAACATTAATCTAATACCTCTATCTTTTTTTCAGTAAATTTGGCATTGGTGTGCCCCAACGTACTGCCTTTATACTTTAACCTGTTGAATGATCCATTTTTTACCCCAAGGGCATAATAGACAATGTACCAGTCCAAGTGGAAAATTTTATTTTTCTTACTGATTTTATTTTTCCAGATTGTGAAGTCGAAAAAGAATTGTCGATCATACTTGGCAAAGCATTCCTTGCTACAAGCAGAGCAATAATTAATGTTGAAAAGAAAGAACTTGCAATGCATCTTAATGAAGAACACATTACCTATAATGTTTAAAATATATTACGAATTATGATAATATTAAATGTCACTATATTAACATCATTAATAAAATTGTGTAGGAATATATGGATGAATGTTACAACATTAAGGTTGATACTCTTAATTTCGCAGCAAAAGTATAATCAGATGAGCCAAATCATGAAGAGGCTATTTCAATTGATGGGAATCAATGCTTCTACATTAATCCTAGCATTAAAATTAGTTCTACACCACTAATGTCGACTGCAAAGCCATAACATGGTCACCTGAGGAAAACTACAAATGCTACCATGCTGTCGAATAGCACAGTAGCAACCAAGGCATCGAGGAAGGTCTCACAAGGATTTTACAATGAAATCCCTTCTCCGAAGATTCAAACCATCAAGCTCATACATATTTATGGTGATAATGAAGAAGCGCGTTTCATGATTGATTCCAACAAACAAGAGTTTTGCTGTGAATAATTTTGCGATCCACAAGCACAAAGGACCTATAGTATTATGATGATTACACAACAACCATTGGAAAACATAAAGTAAAATCACTTTATTGGGACCTAAGAGAAGTCAGGTTCCCAAAATAATCATCGCACCATCAGTCATCAACTTCTGCCTCTGCTTCACAGTATCAGTTCTATTTACAAAAAGTCATTACTACCTAACATCTTCCTAAATTCCATATTATCATTCCTGCACAACATCTTCACCGGCATTAGGGGAGTATTGTTGCCCCTTTCCCATTATTTATTTTATTTGATTTTGTTTTTCTCTTTCTTTACATGCATTGAGGATAATGCATATCTCATATTTGAGGGGTATTGTCTAGTTTGTGTTTTGTGTTTTGTTTCTTTTTGTGATTAGGAATGCATTTTTCTTAACATTAATTGCTTGAGTTTAAGCATTTTTTAAGCATATAAGAAATGTATTTGTGATGTTGCAGGATTAATATTAGGAAATCAATTAAAGTAATTTTCTTTTAGGAAATTTTGATGACGTCTAATGATGAAAATTAATACAATGTGAAATGCTAGGGGAATGTTGTAGAAAGTTAAAAGAATTAGAGTTCGTAGAAACTTTTCAACACTTTAAGTGTATGTTCTCAAAACCTGGGCCCGTTTGGCGAGGTTTTTCAAATGCACTTTTAGCTAAAAAAAACCTTTTTGATCGCAAAATCAATGACAAACGGATAAGAAAATAAAAAAATATGGTGAAAACGGTTGTTTCAATCCAATTGCAAAAACTATGATTTGTAGCTTTTTCATTTTCAGCTTTGCGTTTGGGGCAAATTATAATTTTACCCTTATTAATGTGTGGGCTACACTCAATTATGTAGTTACATTTTATTTTTATAATTTAATATTAATATCCTTAATTAATAATTTGTTTTAATTATTTAAAAGTAAATATAATTTAAATTCTATATTTAATATAATTTATTACATAATAATTTATTATTAACATCATTAAAAATAATTTATTATTTAAGAATTTAATTATTTATTACTTAATAATTAATTTTAATATTTATTTATAATTTAATTGATATATTTTATATATCATAATATTAGTAATAGTAAATATAATTTAAATTCTATATTTTTAATTTACAACATAATGTCTATAATGGACATTTAATCTTTTCAAACTCACTTTTTAACAATAATCTCAAACAATTAAATTTTAAACTGCACTTCTAAACAACACTTTTAAAAGTTTTTTTCTACTGCACTTTTAGAAGTCACTTTTCAAAAGCCCTAGAAAATTGTCCCATATATATGTTAGAAATTTTTTAACCTTAAATCTCACATCTTTATTCGATGCTACAGTGATTTTTTCAAAAATAAAAGTGAAATTTAAGAATAAGTTGGAAAAGCTCGTAATAGATCCAACATTAGATCTAGACAAATTATTGTAGCAATGAGAATCATTAATTGACTAGGAATAATTTTTTCTAACTTAACTAAGTATTGATTGGATAGACCTAGCCTATACACTACTTCACTCTATGAATTTTGAATTTGGTAAGTTAAAATTGCATTCATTGATTTAAGATCATATGAGATGTATGCATTGCTGCAGCAGTTCTTTGAGGGTTGAAAAATGCAATTGAAGAAAAATTTCTGATTTTCTTTTTGATATGTTTTTTATGGCATTGTTGTTAGTTTTGATAGTCATGCATGTAGTTGCTTGAAGACAAACAAACACTTAGGTTTGGGGTAGTAACTCTCCAATAGAGTTATTATTTAGGATCTTTTTACATAGGTTGAGATTGAACTTTAACATTGTTAGGATCATATTAGGATCATTTTTACATATTTTATATCATTTTCATCACGAGAGTAAGTTGGTGGAAGTTCGCCTGATATGTTTTATGCTGAAAATTGGTACATTGATGTTGTGGCATTACTTGAATATGCAGGTGATGTCGTACTACGATGTTGCACCAAGTTGTTGAATTGAACCCACATCAACTGGTGACTCAGTAGACAATTATGAAACTTTTTGGATTTGGAAAATTGTTTAATACAACTATAAAATGGATGGAAAATATAGGAAAATCATATTTTTCCTATTGCAGGATGCATTGACCTTTTGGTGTTATAAATAGGGCCTTCATTCCTACTTTTCAATGATATTCATTCACCTCCATACTTTTCTCCACATTTAATCCATGATTGTAGCCTTAGTTCATTGTTGGAGTGTGCACTAGCAGCAGTAGAGCAGCCGTGACTGGTCTAGATTCAACATTTCATTTGTGATATTGACTTGAGAAGGGAGATACACTTTGCTATATTGAATGATTAATTTTTCTATTTTTATTTGGTACAGAACATAAGGTGTTCGGTGAATTGCTTGACTCTTGTTTTTTATTTTAAACTATATGTTTATGAACTGCATGTTTATTGGATGTTTATTAGAGATAATTCCATCTTATTGTATGCTAATCTTAGTTGCTTTTAGAGATAAAAGTAATCGAGATTGCATGCTATCTTTATCCCGGCGATTGTGTTTTACGAGAGTAAACAATTATGTATAGAGATATAGGAAACAAATGTTATGCTTTGTTAACTAATTAATCTAAGGTTTTAATGAGAGTTAAATTCATTAGGTTAAGGGCTAATCGATGCATAATTCATGAATATATTTTTACATCATAACCATTTCGTCAGTAGCAAAGTAAAATAACATTTTAGGTCCATCTATCTGATTGCTCTATTATGTTTTGCAGCATTCTCCAGCTTCCATTGTCCTATTTTTTCTATTTCGCTATTTGTTTGTTAGTTTACCAAACAAATCAATCATTCTCCTACACTTTACTCTTTTGTAACTTGGTTTGTTCCCTATGGGTTTCAAAACTCGTAGTTCTTTCCAGCTGCCACTTTATTACTTGAACGATA